GTAAACAACCACTGGTCTTTTAAAAAGGGTAATTTTTGATTACTTGCAGGATCGATCTGTTTGATCCTAGGACATATGCGAAATATTTGTGTTGTTTTGATAAAAATGCTAATTTTAATAAAGAACACAAATGACTGAGAAAGGTAGAGGTTTGAGATAAATTTAAGTGTAGAAATCTGGTAAAAAATGCAAGTAAAATGCAAGGAAAAATAAACTTTACAAGTAAGATAAAAGGTTGTAAGCAAGAATGACAAGGAATGTAAAAGACTTTGATTATAAAATATGGTATTTCAAACGTACATTCTCAGTATTCTTTCTCACATAGCGGGTACTCGAATAGTATTGAGTGACTTATACAATTAGTTGAACAGATGGAAATCTACATAGAATCCCTATATTTATATTAGAAATAGGTAACTGTCGAGGAGTTTCCTTGCTCTAAGATGAGGACAAGTGTCCTCTGCATACACTTCGACTTCTGTCCTTATGCCACGTTTCTTTCTTCAACTGCCATGTGAACTGTTTTTCCCTCCTTTCTTCAGATTCAAAATCACTTATTGCTGATACGAAGTTTCCTAGTCGAAGGGCAAAGGCTTCTTGGTCGAACACCCCTTTTAACTTAGAAAATTTATCTAAGTATTTCTTCTCTTCTTAGAATAGCTTCGACACAACTAACATCACGAACTCTTCTATCGAATCGTCTTTAAATTTAGATTTCTTCAACCTATTCTTGGCCAGTAGGACCAACATGTGTAGGTATCGAATTCAGGAGCTAACAAATTGCCCCCCAAGAATGTCAATTTCGACGCCAGAAGAAATGGTCATTCTTTGATATTCTCATTCGACACCTATCTTCTTTTTGGCCACAAAAGTCAATCGTGCGCTTTTCGCCTTCTACCAACCACTGCTGGTATTCAGAGTCATCATTACCTTTTTCCCAAGACGCCACTATCAGTCATCCGTTTGCACGCTGCCATGATGGTCATTATCTCCAAATTAAAGCCAATCTCCCATTTTGATTTAGACTTCTTTATTTGTAAAATGATGTTTATATAATGACTTATAGCCATTTTGGCTGCTTAATGCATTTTCCATTTTGGCTCTTTACTTCGACTGAGATTAAACATTGGTTATTTTAACCTCTTGAAGTACAAGTCTATACTTTTTCAAGTATTTACCATTTACTCTCAAAAGCCTTTGATCTTCATTTAACTCTTCAATCTCATAGGCACCACCAGACAATGTTTGGATAATCTTAAAAGGTCCTTCCCATTTAGGAGACCATTTTCCCATATTTCTATCCTTTCGATCCATTGGGAGAATTATCTTCCATACCAGATCCTCAGGCAAGAATGTCTTGGGTTTTACTCTTTTATTGTAAGATTTTTCCATTCTTTTCTTCTGTATCCTTAAGAGATCTAAAGCTCTCGGTCTTTCTTCGTCTAACATCATATTCCAATAAGCTTCGGAAGGGATATCTTGATGTTTCTGAATTCTTGTTGACTGCAGACAAATTTCTACTGGAAATACTGCGTCATGGCCATAGGTTAATCGAAATGGTGTCGTTCTGGTAGCTTCCTTAGGAGAAGTTCGACATGCCCATAAGATTTGGTCTAACGTTTTATGGCAATTCTTTGGATTTTTTCCTACATGCTTCTTTATCAAGCCAATTACTACCTTATTTTCTGCTTTAACTTGTCCATTAGCTTGCACATAGCAAGGCGTAGATGTTAACAATTTGAATCCCATTTCTGTAGCAAATTCTTACACTTTACGACCAGTAAATACTGATCCTTGGTCGGTTGTTATTGTCTCAGGGATTCCAAAACTATATATAATATTCTTTTGAATAAATTCAATGACATTCTCTTGGTCTACATTGACTAAAGGGATTGCTTCAATCCACTTAGTGAAATAGTCAATGTCCACCAATATATATTTCTGGTTTTTAGACGATGCTGGTCGAATCTCCCCAATAAGATCCAAAGCTCATCCCCTAAAAGGCCAAGATTTCACAATTGAGTGAAGTTCGCTTGCAGGTACATGCTCGATGCCTGTATGTATTTGACATTCTTTGCAGCCTTTTGTAAACTCCACGCAATCTTTCAGCATAGTAGGCCAATATAATCCTTGTCGAAACAACCATAATTTCATTTTATGGCCTACTTGATGTGCCCCACATGCCCTATCACGTGTAGTTGAAAGGGCTATGTATGCCTCTGTTTCACTTAGGAATTTTAGTAGTATTCCTTCAAACGTCTTTTTGAATAACTCATTTCCTATTAGAATATAACTTAACGCTCTGTACTTTGTCTTTCGTTCTGTCGAAGCCATTGGATTTTGCAAATAATCTACTATAGGCTTTCTCCAATCTTGTTCTGCTAGATTGTCTATGAACGAAATTTCGAAGTTTTCTTGGTCAGCGTACCCCAGTTTTGTTGTTTCCAAATCTGTTGGAGACAACTTAGTTGATGTTACTCTTCCTCTAACTTCAATTGCTCGTTGTAATTTTCCTTTCGAAATTTTATATCCAGATGCAATATGTTCTAAGTCATTAGCCACTTGATTTTATAATCTTGGTATATGTCGAATGTTGATCACTTCAAAGTTTTTCAACAAACGATTGGCTATTACAAAATACATGATAAGATTTTCTCTTATACATTTGTATTCTTCCGTAACTTACCTTATGACTAACTCTGAGTCTCCCATTATTTAGACTCGAGTTGCCCCCAATTCCAACAAGATTTCAAGGCCTACGATTAGAGCTTCGTACTCAGCCTCATTGTTAGAACAAGAACCTTTTATCTTGTACTTGAATGTTGATGGAATTTTATTTGGAGAAATAATTAGAACTCCTACTCCAGTTCCATGTTTACGACTGGAACCGTCGAAGTATAACTTCCAGGGTTCGATCTCCAAGTAGTTTAATGATTCTTCATTTATTGAGTGGTAAACTATAAAGTCTGCTACCACTTGACCTTTTACAGCCTTGAGCGACATAAAGATTAATGAATACTCAGTTAATGCAAGCTCCCATTTGCCTATTCGACTATGTAAAATGAGTTTCAACAACATATATTTGAAAACATCAAAATGAGACAATTCTATATTACAGCCATGCTTATATATATAGTATACGTGTAATGAAATAATAATAAATGAATGAATGAAAATAATAAGTATTATTCATTTCCATTGAGTGTTAACACTCATTCCTTTCAAAGTATACTAATTTAGAACAAAGTGACTACTGCTAAGGCATCCTTTTCACTTGACGGCTGGTTCAAGGATAGATTTCTCAATAGGACCAATTTGACTTGTTGGGGTAACTTCAACTCAAACTCCACTAATTACCGTTTTTAATTGGCTAGAGCTCTCCTCTACATTGTCCAACAATTTTATAAGCCACATAAATCAATTTTTGAGACTTCTTTATCACTCAAAAGGAATCTTTTGATTGTTTTCAATCTATTTCGTTGGCTGTATTCGCCCAATATAGATCAAATACAATAATAGATTATTTGACTATGATGCATAGGTACGTGTTAGGTAAGGATACCGTGTGGGTATTGGTATCGATACACCATTTTTATAATAATCAAGATAGGGTTAGATACGGGTATCATACCTAATGTAGGTATTATATCGATACATTGTTTTTATAATAATCAAGATATGGGTGATATGGGTACACCGATAGAAAGAGTCCTAAATTATAAGAAAAAATTATTTTTAAAATTTATTAAATAATTGATATATTTAACTTATATACATCAAATACATTAATTATTTAATGAAATCAAAATAGAATTTCTCTTATAAGAAAGTGAAAATAAGAGTTTTCTATAAAATATATATAAATAACTAAATTGTTAAATTCTCAACAAAACATCACTATAAAAGGTTAAAAAATTAAAAATAATGCTAAGATACAACAAGAAATAAAAATACATAAATATACTACTGAAAAAACAACAAATTTCACGTGAAAAAAATAAATCACTATAAAAGGTTAAAAAATTAAAAATAATGCTAAGATACAACAAGAAATAAAAATACATAAATATACTACTGAAAAAACAACAAATTTCACGTGAAAAAAATAAATCACTATAAAAGGTTAAAAAATTAAAAATAATGCTAAGATACAAGAAATAAAAATACATAAATATACTACTGAAAAAACAACAAATTTCACCATATTGTAAAGACCATGCTTGAGCTGTTCGATAATAAATTGTTTTCTTCCACAAATTCTAGATCGGGTGAAAATATTATAAGTGTGGTGGTGGATTGTTGAGATTAAAAAATAAAAATCTCCATGGTGGTGGTGCGCATTTTAGCGGTGTTGGTTTCGCTGTAGTACAATTTTCTTAATAATTGCTTGATAAAAATAAAATCTTTTTTTATTAAAAAAGGTTTCTTTAAATACATAGTGTTGGTTACATTAGGTAACAACTAGTTGAGCTGGTTTGATGGATTGGAAAATTAAGTTTGGAGTGATAACGATTTTTAGCTTCACCTATTACCACTAATTTAGCACGGATTGCTAGTTAGTGATAAATATCATTTACACACATCTTAGCGAGTTGAAGCTTATTTGCCAAGCAAACAAACAGGGTCTAGTCACCAAGTTCATATTTGCTTCCATAGATAACATATGAACATACCATTGTTGAACTTTCATCTAGCAAGGGATGACCCAGCATACATAAAACAAAATATAAGTAGTTAATATTACTAGAAAGTATATCTGTTTCCCATGAACAACCATACATACTCAATCATAATCATAACATAATACCATAAAATAAAAAGAACACCCATTAGACCAAGGTAAAGTACTCTAATTATTCACACATTCCATAAGAAGATCACATACATAAAACCAAATTTATTCTAACGGGCCTCAATATAGGACCCTAAATCATCATCAGTTCCCAAGTTCCATTTCAAAACAACCAACATCACAAACACGAAACAACACCAACAGCAGCTCAAAAGCCACCCCTCAGACGCAGCACAAGGTGAAGGGTCGACTCCTTCTGGATATTGTAATCAGCAAGAGTCCTTCCGTCTTCCAGCTGCTTACCCGCAAAGATCAACCTCTGCTGATCCGGAGGAATACCCTCCTTATCCTGGATCTTAGCCTTAACGTTGTCAATGGTGTCTGAGCTCTCGACCTCGAGGGTAATAGTTTTACCGGTAAGAGTCTTCACAAAGATCTGCATACCACCACGAAGACGCAACACAAGGTGAAGAGTTGATTCCTTCTGGATGTTGTAGTCAGCCAAAGTCCTTCCATCCTCGAGCTGCTTTCCGGCAAAGATCAACCTCTGCTGATCCGGAGGGATTCCTTCCTTATCCTGGATCTTAGCCTTCACGTTGTCGATGGTATCAGAACTCTCAACCTCGAGGGTGATGGTTTTCCCGGTGAGCGTCTTAACAAAGATCTGCATACCTCCACGGAGACGGAGGACAAGATGAAGGGTTGATTCCTTCTGGATGTTGTAGTCAGCAAGAGTACGACCGTCCTCGAGCTGTTTTCCGGCGAAGATCAGACGTTGCTGGTCAGGGGGAATTCCTTCCTTGTCCTGGATCTTAGCCTTGACGTTGTCGATGGTGTCAGAACTCTCGACCTCGAGAGTGATGGTCTTTCCGGTGAGGGTTTTAACGAAAATTTGCATCTGGAAAATCAAAAAATCAACAAAAACAGAATCAAAACATCGTAACTGGAATTTGAACGAAATATGACAGATCAAAACCAGCGTTTAACAAACGGATCTGAAGAATTACGTTCAAACGCTATTTATTTCGTTCATACAAATCTCACAGAAGAAAAACAGCTTATAACGATCGGATCTGAAAGTTTCGCGAGAAACATGAACTGATTCGTTAATTCATCAAATTAGGATCAGATCTGAGAGATATTCATGAACAGTTCAGCTATACAAAACTCTTATTACATAAATTTCTAAAAGATTGTAAGATCTATATGATCTTGAGAAAAGAAAAACGCAAAATCGAATAGAGAAATTCGAGAAACGAAAATGGAAAATACCTTGAGGAAAAGTTAGATCACGAATAAGAGAAATGAATTGAATTTGTTCGTTTGAGGTTGAACTGTGATATGATGAATGTGAGATAGGGTGGTTTTATAGCGAAAGGGGTTGAAATCTTTACCACTAAATTTGTGACACGTGTCTTGTGACGGGTCATTCGGTGTAAGTTGTTGGCTGGTTTGTTATGGACGGCGAAATTTAGTATGCCGATGCGTTGGGGCGGTTATTCGCGGAAACTACTAAAGAAATTGCAATTTGGAAGGTACTAGTTGGTGTTAGAAATTAACAGAGGAAAATGTATGTGGTCTACTTTTGGATAAACGTTATCACGGGGTTACTTTTTGGATTGTTGATTTTTATTTGGGCCCACGTTTCTTATATGGATCACTCTACCATTGGAAGCGTGCTGTTATATAAAATTTTGAGACTTGATATATTTTTACAATTTTTTTTTGAGATTTTTGACGAAATTTTTATAATATTTTTTTTATTTTGATATGTATATTTAAATTCATCATATTTTATAGATAATCGAAATTATATAGATAGTAGAACATAAATTTAATATTATATATTGTTGTAAACGAGTAGTTGAGGACATTACAATATTTTGATTTTTCTTTCGATTTTTAGAGTTTCGCATCCACTTCAATCGGACTCTTAGTAAAGTATCGGTGAAAAGTACTCTATATAACATTCAGGAAATGAGAAGATATTTTGAAGCCTCAGCCAAAGACCTTATTTCCATCAACATTCAACCTCAAACGACCACCGGGACTGCACTGCCCTCCAACTCCGAAGAAGCCAAACCACTACCTAAGGTCGACGCCATCGACCTCGACAGCCGCTTCTCCAAAGAAGATCGTGCAGAACAGATAAAGAAGGGGAAATAACCCAGGGTCAAAGGCGAAGGTTCAAACTCATCTATAAATAACGAGGAACTCTCAGATCTTGTGCGACCTATCCCGAACAAAGACTTCGAGTTCGTCTCCCTCAAGAACGACCACACCAGAGGAGTGAAGATCGAAGCTAACCTCCCCGACTTGGCGAAGAGGAAACTTAAGGCTTGCCTGGGGGAGAATGCTAACATATTCGCCTTGAGCGCGACTGAGATGTTTGGATAAGATCCAGAAATCGCATGCCATCACCTGACCATAGATCTTGCGCTCAAGGCGGTCGCCCATCGTAGGAGAAAATAGTCTCCCGAAAAAATAGAGGTTGCTGAACTAGTTGTAAAAGACCTTCTAGAAGCACATTTTATTTCTGAAACCCAGTACACAACCTGGATCTCAAATGTAGTTCTTGTGAAAAAATCTCATGGAAAATGGCGCATGTGCATTGATTATACTAATCTTAATCGAGCTTGCCCGAAAGACGCTTATCTCCTCCCCAATATTGACGAATTGGTCGACAACTCAACCGATTTTAAACTGCCATTGTTTATGGACGCATATTTTGGTTATAACCAAATTCAAATGGCGAAAGCGGACAAAAAATATATCGCTTTCATGACCGAGTCTGGTAACTATTACTACAACATAATGCCCTTCGGTCAAAAAAATATGGGCGCTACATATCAGCGCTTGGCGAACAAAGTTTTCTGCAACGAGATAAGAGATATGCTCGAAGTCTATATGAACGACGTGATCGTTAAATCCACAGAAGAGGTCAACCATGCCTTCCACTTAAAGAAAGTGTTCGAGTAGGCCAGAAAGTGTCGGGTGTGATTCAACCCAAAAATTGTACCTTTGGCGTACGAGCAGGCAAGTTCCTCATATTCTACTTAACAGAACGAGGCATTGAGGCAAACCCCGACAAATGTCGAGTATTTTCCAAATTTCCAACGCCCACCTCGAAAAATTCCATCCAAATCTTGAACGGCATACTCACTTCTCTCTCTCGATTCGTGGCAAAATCCGCCCAGCACACGCTTCCCCTCTTCAAGCTCCTATGCAAGGAAGCTGCCTTCGAGTGGACACCCGAATGAGAGCAAGCCCTCACCCACTTGAAATAAGCGTTGTCACAACTGCTCGTCCTTTCTCGACCCGAGAAAGATGAAATCCTCTAACTCTATCTGGCCGTCGCCTCTGAGGCGATAAGCGCGACACTGATAAGAGAAACCCCAGAAGGACAAAGACCAATCTATTTTATGAGCAAGGCCCTGCAAGGTCCAGAAATAAGATATCAACAAATTAAAAAGGTGGCCCTAGCCCTTGTTAACGCAGCGAGAAGGCTCAGACACTTCTTCCTAGCGTATACCATAGTCATCCGAACAGATCAACCAATAAAGCAGCTGGTCGGAAGACCTGACATGGCCGACAGAATGCTCAAATGGTCCTTAGAACTTTCCGAATTTGATATCCAATATGAGAGCAGGAAAGCTCTTAAGGCTCAGGCATTGGCCGACTTCGTGGCTGAAATGACTTCGCCCGCACACCCAGACGGATCATGTCGATGGACGATCTCCATCAACGGTACCTCCAGTTTAACAAGAAGTTGCGCTGGCATCATATTAGAAAACGAAGAAGGAACCTTAATCAAAGTCTCCCTTGTATTATCTTTCCCAACCTCAAACAACCAGGTCGAATACGAGGGATTCCTGGCAGGTTTGCGCCTGGCCGAAGATCTGGGAGCTAAGGAGGTGAAAATCTTCAACGCTCTCAGTTGGTTGCGTCCCAAGTCCGAGGGGAATATCAGGTGAAAAATGACCAACTCGCAGAATATTAGGCTCTGGTCCAGGAGAGAGAAAAGAAATTCAAATCCATGGATGTGCATCATGTTCCACGCGAGCATAACGTCTGTGCATACATCTTATCCAAACTGGCGAGCACGAAGAGGAAAGGGGGGAACAAGTCGGTGATACAGGAAATCCTTCCTCGACCAAGCACCTAGAAACCCCCCTCTACCATGGAAGTATTCTCCATAGGGGATAGCGACTGTTGGATAACCCCCATACACAACTACCTCACTAAAGGAAAGTTTCCCGCAGATTCAAGAGAAGTGGCCATTGTTAGACGGAGAGCTTGCTCGTACGTCTTGGTCGAAGGTAAACTTTACATGAGGGGATTTTGCATTCCCCTCCTCAAATGCATTGACCGAGGCAGCACATATTATATCTTGCTCGAAATCAACGAGGGGATTAGTGGCCAGCATCTGGGCAAAATATCCCTCGCCAGGAAAGCCCTACGAGCAGGATATTATTGACCCACCATGCAGCACGACGCAAAAGAACACGTGAAAATGCGATAAATTCCAGCGACACAGGGACATGCATTTAGCTCCCCCAAATGAGCTCAGGTCCCTCTTCTCTCGTTGGCCTGTCGCCTGGTGGGGATTAAATCTCCTCGGCACATTTGTGGTAGGGACCAATCAAAACAAATATTTGATTGTGGCGGTCGACTACTTCACAAAATGGATAGAAGCCAAAGCATTGGCCAAAACCACTGCCCAAAACGTCATTCGCTTCTACAAAAGAAACATCCTCGCTTGATTCGGCATCCCACGAGCGATAGTCACTGACAACGGGACCCAATTCACAGATCACACTTTTCAGGAATTCGTCACAAAGTTAGGGACCACCCAACACTTCACCTATGTTGAGCATCCCCGGACGAATGGCTAAGATGAATCCGCAAATAGGGTAATACTCAGGGGCCTCAAGCAAAGATTAGATGAAACCAAGAAAAGGTGGGTCAAGGAGTTACACAGTGTATTTTGGGGATACCGAACAACGGCACATTCGTTGACCAGGGAGACTCCTTTCCGACTAACTTACGGAACATAAGTCGTCATTCCTGTGGAGATCAAAGAACCCTCTAGACGAACCAAATCTCCCTCATACAAGGAGATGAACGACATCGCCCTGCGAGAGGAGTTAGATCTGGTCGAAGAAATCAGAACAGGAGCGGCCCTACAAGAAGCCTCTCTCAAACAAAGGATAGCCATGCGCTATAACACCAAAATCATACAACGAGAGTTCGAGGTCGGTAACCTTGTTTTAAAGAGAAATCGTAAAGAATCATGCGAAGGCAAGCTCGTAGCGAACTGGGAAGGCCCTTATCGCATCTACACTAAAACGGGGACCGGGGCGTATTACTTAGAAAACTTACAAGGGGAACAACTCGTTCGATCATGGAACACTGAAAAGCTAAAACAATATTATAGTTAAAACACTAAATAATCGGCGAGTCTCGTCAACAAGACAAACTCATTTGGGCTCGGCCACGCGTGCATGCCTAGGTACAAGCATAAGCACCCAAATTATATTGAAGGGGCGAGACCCCGCTCTTTAAACGAGCGTGTCCTCGGCCCAACATGGATAACTCAATCGAGCTACATCGTCCCCGTACCATGACGGAAGAACACCCGGCTCGCGACGATAAGCTCACGCCGCCGAGCTCAGGTCCTTGAAACGCAACCAGAGTTCCGGCCCACATCTGGCATTTGCCCTGGCCTTTTGTTTGGTTAACCCACACCGGTGAACACACGAACCAAAACAAGCAGTTCCTCGCTACAAGCTCATAGAAAAACAAAATATATCTCGAGCAGACAAGCATCACAACAAACATGCAAACACAAATATTTAAAGTAGAAACAAACAACTGTTAAGGCCGCCATTGTATGAT